TCTCTCTCTCTCTCTCTCTGTGTGTGTGTGTGTGTGTGTGTGTGTGTGTGTGTGTGTGTGTGTGTGTGTGTGGCAGTGTGTGCGTGTCTGTGAGTGTGTGTGTGTGTGTGTCCACGTCTCACTCTCCAAATGCTGATTGAAGAGTCTGCTAATGCAAGTTGCCCCACATCACATCAACACCAGGTAAGTACCGCTAGTTCCCAAATTGTGTCTTCCCTTCTTTTCCCGAGCGCCTCCCCACATCACCACCCTGGCACCCTGCAACCTTGCTTAGAGCCCTAGCCGCTAGATGACCACCCCAGGGCTAAGCAGGAGCCCAACTCAGCCCATGGTAGAAGCATAGAGCAAAGAGGCATGCTATATTGGTACTTTGGACAATAGATCTGGACAGGTATACCACAGACCCATAGGGCCATAGATAGACCACACACTACAGTTGTGCCCCAGACCCCATAGATGGACCGGACAGGTCTCCCCAGCACCAGCCCCAGGGTCCCCAGTTTATCTGTTGCTGAAGTGCCTACTGACCCGTACTCTAGATATCACGGGCACGTCGGGCAGTGTTACATGCCCAGTTGGGCGATGTACATACAAACCGCGGATCCGCAATGTGATAAAAAGGACTGAATGGACAATGCAGTGCAAATAGAATCTCAACAAGCAATGTGCAGTCCGATACATACAAAATGGTGCTTTATAGCGCAGGGAAGACTTAGATACAAGTCCTGACCTGACCGGGACTGACCTCTTTCACGTAGTACAAGAGAGCGAAGCAGAATGCTAGAATACTAATGACTAGCCCAATCAATGTTCAACGCAGACCAAACATAGATCATGCTCATCACAAGGTGCGAAGGGGCCTGGCGCTATACACAGGAAAGAGATGCCAGGTCCAGACGTACACAGACGAAGAGGAAGGGCTCAGACGAAGAAGAGGAAGGGGAGATGGGAAAGTCGTCAAACACCAAGTCTCGTTACAAGTCCCAAATAATCCCTCTTCAAAATGTCCGAAGTCCCATGTCGAGTCTGGATCCAGTGTCACCAAACTCTCTCTCTCTCTCTCTCTCTCTCTCTCTCTCTCTCTCTCTCTCTCTCTCTCT